GAAGCCGGCGGTAAAGGCAAGTCAAATCAGCAGGGACCGCATGAACGTAAAGGATTAGGCTATGAACTCCCCAAACCAGTGCGGATCTTCATAAACAGAGCCGCAAGTAATTGCATCACGTCTACCGATGAGGAGGAACAACACAAGAGGCAATCGGTCTTTGATAGGATAGGCGAGGTAGAACAACGACGGTCAGCCTTTCATAGGCTTGGGTCAAATCCCAAACCTGCTAAGAGGAAGTCAATACATGACAGACTTGGAGCTTCTCGAGTTTTAAAAGAACACACCAACACTTCTATTGAAATAGAGTCTTCAAAAAGGCTTAGAAGTATAGTTCCCTCTCGTATGAGACGAGAAGTTGATGTCCATGTTTCATGCAGCGAAGTCTTGAAGGTCCAGCCAAAGACCATTATATACACCCGTGTGCAAGAAGGAAAAGAAGAAGACCTTGATTCAAGTTATGGAGCGACACCAACCCAAGATGAGGTGGCGTCTTCATTCCACATTAATTGACATGATGAGATCCCGGTTGCGAGGGGCATGTACAACTTGGTTGATGAAAATGATGCGCAAGTTGGCCCTATTAAGTAAACGAGACTACTTGATGATCCACCAAAAATGCAGCACGTGGTTAAACTGCTAATGCATCTCGCTTGTCTATGGGTGGGCCCAAGTCATAGACTCTCCTGGCCCACATGAGCTTAAACTGTGAACGACTTTACTTTTTTTAAAAAAAATTGAACTACGTTTGACTTGATCTCCTTTTCAGGAGTACGTAGGCAGCTTTGAAATTTTATTGTCTAAGTCCAGTCATAACAAAATTTTTATACTTTCGTCCAAGATAGTGACTTTATTCAAGCACGCGTTAATTATTGGTATGGGAAGGAGGAGAACAAGTCTAGGAAGCATCGCAAGTCTTGGAATGGAAAATAATTGTCAAAGCATGCATTCACGCAACAATCGGTCACTGTTCGGTATTTTGGTCATATCTCGGTCTATAATAGTCCGATTGAGGTGATCTGGCTATCGTTAGAAAGCTAACTTAAAGAGCTACAATTTTCATGAAGACATCTAAACTTGAATATGACTTTTGAAGGATCAAAATTCGAGAGGAAATGAAGTCACGAATCTGTCCAGAATTTCCTACGTTCATATCTCATTTAAATCTTTCAAGGAGAAGGTTTATGAGTAGTTTTCATGGTTCCTTTTAATGTTCAGGAATATTAAAATGCAAGAGAAGTATGCTTTAACATTCCAATAAAGGAACAAACTAAAGTGAAGCGATAATACAAATTCGAAACTACAATAGAAGAACGACAGCTTGTGTGGCATCGAGTTATTGTTGAGCATGGGTAAAAAGAGCTTCAATTGTTGGTCATGAATTTCTTCGAACTTCTCTTTCGTACTCAGGGGTCCAATTGTTAAGGACGGTAAAGTGATAATATTATAATGTATCATATACATGTATATACAACACTATTATTATTATTATTATTATTATTATTATTATTATTATTAAGATATTGCAAAACAAAAAGGAAAAAAAAAAACAAACAAAACGAAAAAAAAAAAAAAGAAAACAGTCAACAAGGAAAAGAAAAAAAAAAAAAAGAACAGTAAACGAAGGAAAATGTAAAAAAAAAAAAAAAACGAAAAGAAAGGAAAAATAAGAAGCAAAACAAAAAAGAGAACAGGAAAAGAAAGTGAAAGCATAAATGATTTGAAAAGGATGGCAAAGCGTCCTCTCTGGCTCTCTGGCTCTGTGCGTAACATCATCATCTGTCTATATGACAGTGTGTTGTCACCCTTCAAACTAATACATTCCATTTAATATTTGTCTATATAGTAGTGTGCTCTTATATACGAACGAAATGAAGAATGAACCCAAGTGAAGCTCCCTTCGTCCTTGTCTTCTCTCCAGCGGCGTTGGCAACAGTTTCCGGCGGCTTCCAGCGAGAAACTCCGGCGGGGAGCAGAACCTCTACGACGAACTCCGGCAGCGTTGGCGGTTTAGCGGCGACTTCTGCAAAAAAAAAAAAAAACAAAAAACAAAAAAAAAAAAACAAAAAACCCTCCAGTGAGCATCGACAGTTCAGCGACATTCTTCCGGGAGCAGCGATCCTCGACAGATGCAAAGCTCCGGCAACAATGGCTTTCAGCGGCGGTCTCCCAACCCGTGCGACTTTGATGAAGAACAAATTCCGGTGGGTAGCAGTCCGGCGACCTCCAATAACTCCGGCGACCTGACAGAAAGGAACTCCGGCGACCTGCAATAGGCGGAAGAGACCTCCGGCGAACTGCAACAGGCGGAAGAGAACTCCGGCGACCTGCAACAGACGGAAGAGAACTCCGGCGACCTGCAATAGACGAAAAAGAACTCCGGCGACCTGCAATAGACGGAAAAGAACTCCGGCGACCTACAATAGACGGAAAAGAACTCCGGCGGGCAGCAGTCCGGTAACCTCCAACTAAAAAAAAAAAACAACAAAAAGACCCTCCGACAACTCGTTCTTCCATGTGATTTGCGGGTTCTTTGAAGAAGGTGATGGTGATGGTCGAAAAAAAATCATCAAACAGATCGATCGTGGGTTTTATGGATTTGCTCTTCCTGGTCCTGAAGACGAAACATATATGGAAGATGAAGATAAAGAGGTTAAGAGTAGGTTTTACCTGATTAAAAGACTATGAGGGCTTCTGCTCAACCTTCTCTTGTAATCCTGGTAGTAAAATTGGTGGGATCTGGCTCCTCTGTTCTCAATATTGGTGTGGGTTTAGCAGGTGAAACTCCTATTTATAGTGCCTGGCGAAGGAATTGGACATGGAGGTGGAGTCTAAAATCCCAATAGGATTAAGATAAAACTTCTGTTGCCGCTAAAAACAAGCTTCCTTCTGGTGGTGGGATTCGTATGCTACGGGAGTTTCACATGAAATAATTTTGAGTCTAATTCGGTTATATTTTTTTTGAATGGTCATCACTCATCAGTGTTGAAGGGGTGATGAGCTTGGAACTTTGAAATGGGTCAGTACACTTTGTTTGTGCTTAACATCCAATATGGTAGAAACTTCATACCGTTGGGCTCATGGAATTGCACTACACCAATTGCATCCTCAAGTAATTCTGGGCTCAAGAAAGGAATGTCCAAGTGTATAGCTGGGCTAATGGAATTAAAATGCATTGCGTCGTTATCATTCGGGGTTAAAGTAATTTTGGGTTCGTAGAATATTCCATTACATAATTGGGCTCATTTTGTGTCAATTTAATTTCTTAATTTGGGTTCACGAAATGTCCGGACACATATTTGGGCCCATGGAGTTTAGATGCACCGCGACGAGTTTAAAGGACCGTTTGTTAAGTTTCAAGACTTCCTCGCTCCAAGCACATTAAGCGGCATGTCCCGACAAGTCTCGATGGGGCAATTTGTAGACACAGAAAATTTGAATCCAACAAATGGACTGATAAATAGTCGGTGGACCGATGTTGAGGTTAAATGTTGGGCCAATTTAATTAATTGGATCATATAAATTAATTTAATTTAATTATCTCAATTAGAATTTGATTTGGGCTATTGAATTAATTAATTAATTGGCCCAAGCCGATTTTATATTTGAATTTAAATTATAATTATAATTTAAATATAATATTAATTTTATTATATTTGAATTAGATAATTATAATTTAATTTGAATTTGAATTAGATTTACAATAATGAACCTGGACTTGATCTTGGACAAGGTTCATTTTCCTAATTAATTAATTAATTAGTTAGTTAACTAAAAAGAGGAGTTTGTTGAGGAATGTTGGTTAGGCTTTTAGTATAAATAGAGCCTTCATTTCATTCCAAAACACACTTGAAAGCTTGAAGAACCTGAAGGCATTGAAGAACGCTTGAAGATTTGAAGACATTTTTGTTGATTTTGCAGGCAATTTGAATCCATTGCAGGTACTTTGGAGCTTTGCTGAATTGATTGTCTCGAAGATCTTGAAGTCTTTTGAAGGCATTTGAGGATCTTAAAGCAGCTTGAATCCATTGCATGTGTTTTGAAACTTTGCAGGGTTGATTACTTCTAAATTCTTGACGCTTGTTGTTGGAAGTCACGCCACTTAGATCCCGGAAACTACGCCACTTAAATCCCGGAGGCACGCGCCACTTAAATCCCGGAGGCACGCTATTTGAATCTCGGAGGCACTTCCATAGATAACGTCAGTGAAGAATCAAAGGACTAGACTGAGATTTTGTACCTGCATTGAATTATACACACGCTGTACACAGAATTTTGTGAATATATACAAAGTTTGCTTTTTTGTGTTTACACGCATAACTGCCAAGTTACGGACATTGTTTGCTGCCCACCTTAGTGAAACCACAATTGTTATACTGTGCAACCGTGTGTACTATGCATGGTGCACACGGATGCAAACGACGCCGTTTCATTATGGTGGAGTAACGGTGCCGTTAGTGGCACCGTTTAACTCCAAACAATTTTTTTTTTTTTTTTTTTTTAAACTCCAATTGACGGGATTTCTACCATTTTCAGTGTGGATATATAATTCACTTATTCTGGATATATAGTTCACTAATTCTGGATATATAGTTCAATAATTCTGGATATATAATTCATTAATTCTAGATATATAGTTCACTAATTCTGAATTTATAATTCATTAATTCTGAATATATAGTTCATTCATTCATTCTGATTACACAGACGTAGCGAACTGCCCATAAGTCAAAACAGAGTACCAGTAACCATTGTGACTGTGTGAATATATAGTTCACTAATTCTGAATATATAGTTCATTAATTCTGGATATATAACACAACATAATGCCATTAACGACAATCGAAAGTCGAACGCGTCATTTTTAATCAAAACGATGCGGACTTTGCAACGGCGGGTGAAACCCCTGGAGAAGTTTCTGGTTCAATGGAAACTAGAAATTACCTGTCCAGTCATCCAATCAAATCCTATACACTCTTATCTTTATGTTCCACCTGTCAAGTGTCAGATTGTTATATCCACGGACAAGGATCCTTCCTTCCTACCCTTGTCTTTCTTGCAATAGAGGAGAGTGTGAGAGACCATGGCAGCCACACTCTGTCTCCTCAAACTTCCTGTGCTTCCCTCATCAAAGCACCAACAACCCTACATCCCAAAGCTAATTTCTTCAATACCCATTTCGCCAAATCTCCCCCAAAACCTCCTAAAAGAAGCCATTAGACCGCTCAAATCCGCTTCTCTTCCGCTCAGTGCACTGGCATTCACGTTCTTTCTTGACGCTCAGGCATGTAATAATTAAGCTATCTTTTTGCCAAATTCCTTTTTTTGTTTCGGATTGTAAATGATTTGTGGTGTGGGTAGGATGCGGTTGCGGTGGGTGGGGAGTTTGGGATTCTTGAAGGGAGGAGCTTTGCTCTCATTCACCCCATTGTGATGAGTGGGCTGTTTGTTTACACCCTGTACGCCGGATACCTTGGCTGGCAGTGGCGGCGCGTGCGCACCATACAGGCCGAGATTACTGAGCTCAAGAAGCAAGTCAAGCCTGTTGCTGTCACCCCTGATGGCTCACCCGCTGCTCAACCCCCAAACCCATCCCCTCTTGACTCCAAGATTCAGCAACTCACTGAGGTAAAAATTTCAATATATTTTGCAATTCTAAGCTCTTTGTTCAAGTCTGTATATATGCAAATTGTTAGGCGGAGGCTAGTAAATGGCTTCTTGAAAATGTGTGATGGTATAAAGAAATAAAGTTGTGTTAGAGCTTTTGGCTTAGTGGTATCAGAGCCAAGTTCTCGAAAATGATGTATTTTTGGTATATTCAGGAGAGGAAGGAATTGGTGAAAGGCTCATTCAGGGATAAACACTTCAATGCTGGTTCTATACTGCTAGGGTTTGGGGTTTTTGAGGCCATTTTTGGAGGAGTTAACACCTGGTTCAGAACAGGGAAGCTATTCCCAGGGCCTCACTTGTTTGCAGGGGCAGGTAAACTAAAATTTGTGTTCTTGTTCCTTTACTATACTGGCATGCATTCTTATTGTTTCCACCCATTACAATATAATGGTTTAATGATTGGTTTGATTTGTGGCTTACAAAACAGGAATTACAGTGTTGTGGGCGGCAGCCGCTGCTCTTGTACCAGCAATGCAGAAGGGGAACGAAACTGCTAGAAACCTTCACATTGCACTTAACGCGTTGAATGTTATCCTCTTCATCTGGCAAATCCCTACTGGAATTGACATTGTGTTCAAAGTGTTTCAATTCACTAGCTGGCCTTGAAATCAACTAACCCCAATACTGAGTTATCTACCTCCCATATATCAATTTGATCAAGTACGAATTACTCTTAAGGTTCTGTTAGAAATATACATATATATATATATATATATATATATATATATATATATATGTCACAAGTCTTTCTACGTTGCATTCACCAATTCATGTTTTACCTTAGTTTGATTGTAAATTCCCATCTGTATGCACAATGGAAATTCTTGATTAGTTGTTTATAATTGTATGGACATTTTTATGGCGCACATACTTTTATTGGCACGCACCATACGCCTTCATTTTGATACCATATATGTAGCTTCAATATTAGTCTATCACTGTGATTTTGGCACTATAATGGTGGCTTGTGCTTGAGATGATTTGAAAAGCAAGGGATGATCGAGTAGAAAGAAAGAAAGACAAGAGGGTACAGCATAACATCTCAAGAAGCAAAGTTAAAGCAGAAAAAAAGTGGATATGGTGGAGTCCACTACCTTACTAAACTTGAAATCCAGAGTGATAAAAGGTAAATAAAGCATTTGGGAATTTTGTTCTTTTTGCTATTAGTTTTATGGTGAAGGTAGGAATTTTGATTGGGAAGTTTGATGATCTTCCTCTTCATCTTTCTTACGAAAGTGTAGAGAGAGAGAGTTTCTAATGTACTGTCGTATATTGTCTCAAACTGTCATCTAGAATAGAGTATACAAAGCCTTATAAATAGGTGCTAGAAGACTACGAATAGGAAACAAGTTTCCATATACCCTACCTTTCTAAATCCCTAAGACTGCCTAATCTATAGGGATTTTATATATCAAATATATATTCTATATTCCATAACACTCCCCCTCAAGTTGGAGCATATATTTAATAAGAGTTAGTTATTGAAATGGTCCCTTGATTATAACGAAATTACTAATTTGGTCATTGACTATTTTTTTGACCAATTAAGTCCCTCAACTTTAAAAATCTTAACCAATTTGGTCTTCCATTTGTTTGACCGTTAGTCAACCGTTAACTTGGGATCAAATTGGTAATTCGCTATAGTCAAGGGACTATTTTGGTAATTAACTTTAAGGGTAGGCAATTCGGTTCAGTTTTCTCGAACCGAACCATACCAAACTAGTTAGATTCGATAATATACCAAACAAGTGAACATTAATAGATTCCTGTATACTGAATGGTTCGGTAAAAACTCGAACCGAACTGAATTGTTCAGTAAAAATCGAACCAAACTGAATACCGTTTGAACTTTAGATTGCTATTTTGTTATATATTAGACTTTGGATTTGGACTATGTAAACACCATAACACATAATATATAACTTTTGATAACTGATGAACAATTTTAATATTTATGTCCTCGCAAGTGCACGAGTTAGTGTAGTGGTAATGTGCAAAGGCAAGGGTCGAACCCATAGGGAATTGTACGATGCAATCTAATTATAATTACTTAAATTTAAGAAATAATTGACTTGATAATGTAAAGTGCTAGACAAATGCCAAAGATAACGATGAATAAAACTCAGGTAGTTAAGCAATAAAATTAAACCAGAAAGCAAAATAACAAATAGATTAAACTAAACGACAATCAACATGGATTAACTAAATGAAATTGCAAGGCAGGAAAAACACTTGAATAACTACGGAACAAAATAACAAGAAATTAAAGACTACAACATAAATCAATTACCATTGATCATTGCAATTAACCAAATACTTAATCTTTAAGCATTATAATTAGCAAAATAATTAGCATTAAGCACTGTGATTAAGATTTGTCATTAAATCTGCAATTAAGCTCTACTGAAGCAATCTTTTCACAAGTAAACAGATTGAAATTGAAATTGAGGAATTAACAATTAAATAAAGTGAATTGATGAATTAAAGAATTAAACAAAGTGCATTGAAGAATTAAAGAAGAAAAAGAACCAAAAAGCTGCCAATGGGATTAAAGAAATTGAAGCTGAAGCTGCCGAATGGAATTAAGGAAATTGGAACTGCTGACGCCGAATCAGGTTTGCCACCGAGTCAGAAATATAATCGAAGTTTCCGAAATGGCCTCCTGAATTGATCCGGAGTGAGATTGATGACTCTTCTTCCTCACAAAAGCATGTCATTTATACTGCTTCTTTAACTGAACTCCGCCGTAATTTTTGTTCTGAATCTCTGGTCATAGCCGATGAAGAACCACTTCTCTCACAGTGTTGTTGACGACTTCGGTTGAATCGCCGCACAAAAAGCTTCGACCGAGACTCAAAAGTAATTATTCCTTTGACTTAAATAAATTAGAATTCAATTATAATTAGTCTATGTTTATTAAAACTCCTATTATACTACTAAAGATTATTATTATTATTAAATTAGGACCAAGGAATTATTAGACTGATAGAATTCAAATAATAAAATAAAATTAATAAAAACAACCTTCAAATGAATAATATTAACAAAGTTACTTAATCAAAATAATAAATAAAATAGATATAAAATTAATCAATTATTGAAAATTAACTATAAAAATATCATTAAAAATAACACTAAAAATAATGTTTATCAAATCTCCTCAAACTTATTTATTTGCTTGTCCTCAAGCAAAGGCATTATTAAAAAGGAAAAGATAAAGAAGTTCGAAATAAAATCAAAAATAAAACCAACATTAAACTGAGCTTTACCCGAATAGCTTTTCAAATTTATTACCACCAATGCAAAATTAGTGTCAACTCAAAAAAATGTATAAAACATTTGACTAGAAATTAAAAACTTTAACAACTAAAGTAAATATAAAACGTGTGCTCGTGTGCTGACACCCCTTATATGAACTATACAAAAACTCAATAGAAAAATACCAAATTCAACCTAAGCTAAATTCAGAAATATTCTATCACAGTGCAGGTGCAAAACGTGAAGGAAATCAGGATCAAGGCATTTATTAAAATTAAAAAGCATTTGCTCATCTCTTCCAAAGTTCACTCATTATTTTTCTATTTTGACTTTTTTTCAAAGAGAACTTTCCCAAAAACCTCGCCATTTTACGCCAGACTTGTTTGGGTTTTCAATTTTGTGTGTACTCATAAACCAGACCACGACACTTATTTATTTATGGTACATGTGTATAGGTGGCTGATTCAGCGGAGTAGAATCTCTGAATTATTGCAAATAAAATAAATAAATCACTCTCATTTATCTTTTTAAATATTTTTTTAAAAATATTTTTCTTTTCACCTCATTTATGCCACAAAGATGATCCTTGAACCAACACACTACACCACAATTTATAGCACTCAAAAATTGTTAAAAAATTTGATAAAGATAATATAAGGTGAAATCAACATATAAACTATTAAAGAAAATACATAAAACATATAAGGGTATTTGTGAATTTGCAAATTCTAATTATGATATCTTTTTGTTTTTGTCTATTTTTGATTTTTTTGGTTTTTTGTTTTTTTTTTGACAAAGATATAAAATTAAAGAAATTAACAACTAGTCAAAAACAATATACACGCTAAGAGTTGACAAAAATATGCATTATTTCTATCAACGAATATTTAAAAGACTCATAAGGGTAAAACTCAAACTAATGCTAGAATTTTAAAATAAAAAGGTTTAAGAAAATGGACATAAGAAAATTAAAAAGTTATGAAATTAAAAAAGAAATTTAAAAAGGTTAAGAAAATATACATAAGAAAATTAATGAGTTTTACCAATTTGGTTTCAAGTTAACAGTTGACTAACGGTCAAACAAACAGAGGACCAAATTGCTTAAGATTTTAAAAGTTGATGGACTTAATTGGTCAAAAAAATAGTCAAGGACCAAATTAGTAATTTTGCTACAGTCAAGGGACTATTTCGGTAATTAACTCTTTTAATAATGTCCAACTTGTTACACAAATGAGTGATAACCCAAAATAACTAAATAACAAATAACTCAAGTCCATTTAGGACACTCCTTTGAAACGAAAGCCTTGAACGCCACCAATGCCACAAACAACGGGTGAACACACAGTGAACAAGCTTGAGATTGGACACTCATGCTCCCCCTCCAATGAAAGCTTCGAACATCACGAATCCCACGAACAATGGGTGAACACAAAGTGACCAAACAAGCTTGAGATTGGATACTCCCCTTTGAAACGAAAGTTGTGAACGCCACCAATACCGACGGACAGTTGGGTAAACTCAACGTGGTGGACCAAACAAGCTTGGGATTGGACCCTCCCCTGAATCGGAAGCTTGGACGCCACTAATACCGCAACTCCGGGTTAACACAAAGTGGACCGTACAATCTTGAACACACAAGGTAAAGAAGACAAACTCCAAACTGGAGGACACAAATTCTTTACTAGCAAAAGGGAAGTATCTTGACTAACAAAAGGGAAGTATGCTCCAAATGACGAGCATCAAAAAGAAGAGATAACACCAAACCGAGACACCACCAAAAGAAGATAGCAACAAAACACAAAACAAGACAGCACTAAAACACGAAACGAGACAGCACTCAAATACGAATACGAAACAAGACAGCACTAAAATACAAAATGGACTCCATCCTTCTAGAGGTCAGGAACATAAAGACCCCTAGGCGCAAGCCCTTTACCAATAACACTCTTCGTCACAAGATTCTAAGGCAGCAACAACAACACAATTATACTTAGCCATACCCACCAAAACAGATCACAAAACCACACCAAAAAAGATTTAGTTTCAGCCATACCCACCAAAAACTAAGCCCAAACAGATCAGAAAACACACAAAAAAAGGGATCCGGAAGGTGTACAATACAACCTGACCGTTGACCGGTGACCGACGGCGGATCTGAAGACAAACAACACTACTAGAAGCGTCTCCTCGAGACGAGTCCAATGGTGGCAACGGCGTCTCGATCGGAGATCGAAGGAGGGAGATCTGACCGGAAAACGAACCCAGATCTCAACGGTGATGGTGGCGCGTGCGGCGGTAGACGACGACCGGATTTTAGGCGTAGACTTGCGAAGATGATCCGAGAAGGTCTGTGG